GGTGGTTCAGGAGGAGATCCACATCACTGGGTACACCAGGAGCACCGACGTGACATAGGGCCGATTGCATGAATTATGTATTCCCGGTGTTTCTCGAAAGTCAATTGTTAATCGATGTTTAGGCCAAAAATGGATTGCATGAACGCTATCTTCCTTTAACCATTGCCTAACCATCGGCTAACGGAATCTGAAAAAGGTGTCTTTTCCAGATATGTATGGGGCATGTTTGGTCGATATTTATGCCAGCTTTTGTGTACTATCTCGATCAGTATAGCACTGCAGTGTAGTGGTGAAGCACGATTGATTATCTTTAAGGAGCGGTCGATATCAACTATGTGTTCTCGTCGTCGCATGGGACAAATAAACATCGATTCTAGGCTTAATCCCTTTGAAGAATATGTCGATGAGAACTTCCGCGTGAGATATCGATTTGGAAAGGGATCAGTGAATGATAACCTGCTTTCCAATGAACTCGAAAGGAACGAAAATAGCAGAAGGGATCCCTTAACTTTACATTAACAGATAAGAACAATTACGGGTCATGTGCAATGAATCGGGATTTATTCACGTACCCATCCCCTTAGTAATTAATTAGTATGATCCGAAAGTAAAGAGAGTGTCATTAAAACCTTTCGATTTGCATGTTCTGCTGACCCTTCGATTTTATGTGGCATCGATTCCTAGAAATGGAATGGCGCAGGCCATTGCTCATTTACGTCACTCATTGCATTCCCAGGGGGAAAAACGGAGTAGTTGTTCGAAGACAGTTATTTGATATTGCCGAATTTCCAGGAATGATCAGTCCCATTGACGACTGTCGTATTCGAATAGAATGCCCAGCCAACCGTTATCAATCGCAAAGGCTTCTACTTTATTGATGTCCAAGCAGTGCGCGATGCGGAAGTGATTTTTTTTTACTTACGTTGACAATACGTGACCAGGATCCATACGCGATTCTCGGATATCCTCATTTTGCAATCGTGCACAAATGATGCTATTTTTTTCATATTCACATCTTGCTAGTTTGTCTTGGTTCACCTTGCAATTTTTCTCAGCTCGGCACTTTTCAAAAGCGATTATTTTGCTCCAAAAAGCTGATTAGGCCCATGGTACATTCACAACCACATTGCGCAAGCGCAAGCCCACAGCGCAGGCGCAGGGGCCACTCGCGCAGGCGCATTCCGTGTTCCACTTTTTTGTTGCGTTCAATATTCGCGACTCTTATCAAATCCTTCTAGATTCCACGTTCGTTCCCTACCGTTTGTCATTTCACGGTCAGTATGTCTCCTATCATATAGTCTCGTCTTTTCTCTTCGTTACCCATCCTAAACCTGTCAGCCAATTTAATAACCCATTAACTTACCAGGGACACGGTACAGTAGATCCCCTAGTCATGGGGCTCCACAACCCTGCTAGACGCCAAACTGATAGACGCAGTGTCACAGGATGATGTGGACTGTCACTGTCGAGTGCAAAGGAAGGGTTATTATTCATTTAGTTTACATTAATTGAAAAGAGGAATAAAGACGTCGTCTCTCTGTGATCGCGCACTGGTTGACGGTGGACTGGGAGTGTTGAGCTCGGGAAACTATGCCATGTGCTCCCCTATTCAACATAGGATATCGTGGAGGGCTGCCTCGCTTCTCTTTCCCTTATCAAAAAAACGTTTTGGTTTGCGAAAAGTTCTGCCTTAACATGATTTGTAGTCTCCTCTAGCCAATGGTATAGCTTTTTTTTGCCTTTCTTGACCGTATTTAAGTGAGATAACTGTACGCATAGTATAATGTCTCTATCATGCACCTCCCTTCAATCTCACCTCTCCCGGGAGGTCAGAGAAAACGTTCCTTCTCTCTCATCTCCAAAATGATTGTGGTGCCACTTCCCTTTTTGAACAATGTAGTTCCAGCTGCATTTTCGGTTGCTGGTAGTACATGAACTCCTTCATTCGATTTCCCTCTATTTCGCTAAATTTCGTTGTTTTGCAAAAAAAAATGTTTACAGCCTGCTCATTTCCTGTTTCTTGCATATTAGAGTGGAGTGCAATCATAACTCGATTATTTCGTGTCCCGATTTAGTAATTAACGGATTTACATTTTTCTCCATTAATGTTTTACCTCAACTTCGCTGTGCAGTTTGCTTGTCCAGAGAGGTTCGTATTGTATATATGCCCTGCCGGCACTTAGTAACTTGCTCCATATGCGACCGCCAGTTGCAGAGACTGTCGGTAGGGTGCCCTATTTGCAGAAGCCCTATCGCACGCAGGATGGAAATCTTCTTTCCCTAGGTAAAGGCATTACGTTATTTCTCTCTTGAATGCCGCTTTCTCAATATTTGGGTTCTTTTGTAATAAAAAAAAGTGAAACTTGGATATAAAATTGCCTGTCTGTGCCTAGGACACGGAGAAGAACCTCCCCCTGTCGTGTCCTCAGTCTAACGCAGTCTCCACCTTCATCATGAAGATGGCGATAACAACCGCATCAGTGTAGTCCCTATGACATGTGACCCAAAGGAATTATTTTTAAAACTTGAATAAAGAGTAATGTCACATGTGTCATGAATTCCCGCCCTTGCCCGCATTTATTCATGCATGCATAATTTTTCTTCTTAAACATGTTCTTGCCAGCATGATTTCTTTCCTACGTGCGATCCCATCATTTCGGAGCCGTGTGTTTTCCGACCTAAAAGATTCCGTGCTACGTGTTTCCTTGCCTAAGATATTCTAGGATATGTGATTTCCTTGCAACGTGGAAATAGGCACACGTTTCTTTCAAACGTGATTCTTGCCCGCATGATTCTTGCATACGGGAAAGCTGAACTTTCACGAACAATAGTGACGTTGATATCATTTTCTTTCGTACGAGTTTCTCTGCTAAATGCTTTCTTTCCTACGTAGTTTCCTGCCAAAGAGTGTTCTGCATTCCGCTCTACGTGATTTCTGGCCTAGGAGTTTTGTTTTCTCCCCCTTCGGTCAAGGGATAAGTTTTGTTTCCGTTGACTCAACTCGTTGCACGCGAGAGATTCCTTTCCGAATCCAACTGGAGTCATCATGGTAGTGCATTCCACACCATGAGGTTATATAAAAGTGGACATCGATTATGCGAAGAGGGATATTCCAAGACGGGGAGGTAAGGTCCCAAAGTTCTTTGTTCCAATCAGTGGCGTAGCCACTTAGTCAGGATTTCGCCAATGAGGGGAATAAGTGGAATGGTGGGGGGGCTTACACCTCCTCGTAGGGAAGGGGGGGGGGGGGATGCATTTAGACCGGAGTTGGGGGGGCTTGAACCAAATCCCTCGCTACGCCACTGGTTCCAATGCTGAAGCTGTTTTTTTTTTTTGTGGAAACAAAGGACGTCATCATATTCGTGGGAGTAGAGTTCGAAATCTAATCTCGGCCATACTCATAGATGTTGTATTTGAATTTCAATCTCGAGGTTAACGAACCAAGTCAGACATCGGAAGATAGAATAGAATATAGAATTTCATACGGGGCATAATTCGAGGAAGATTGCTCGCTGAGGCCAGATAGAGCTTCTATCACTTTGCATTATTTTGAGTGGCTCCGCCCGAGCCCGCCTCTACAAGAGAGCATGGTCCTGTAGATCTGTGCCAGTCGTTGACTCGTCCACGTGGTCAACACGGGTCTTCTAAAAGTAGTTTCTAATCGATTCTGTACGTTGCTTAAATGGCAGTGGTTACAGTCTTAAGTTAATCAATGTAACGTAAAAAAAAATTCCTTAAGGTCTGTATCATATGCATAAATCTTACATGAGGCGTACTTGTCATGATGATGATAGGCTTAATTATGCCTAGGCCTAGCCTAAGCATGTTCTGGAAGACTAACAGGTGTGGTGGGTGCAGCTTATTTTTTCTGGTGAAATCCTACAAGTGACGGGACCGTATATAGATTCACGAATTCTGGAACATCAGCAGACGAACTCAGGATTAAAACACACGTCAGGAAAAATTGCATTGGGTCCTCTGTTGCTGAGAATATGCTAATTGTGAAGATGGGATGAAGCTGGCACACAGAACATGCATGGATAGAAGAGGAAAGCTGAATAATTAACAAGTTAATGTTGTGTAGGCTTAGTCAAAGGCCCTTTATTTTGTTCAAATTCTTCTCAGATTTCCCTATTCTACTATAAAATGGTACATTTCATGAGGTTAAGTCTACAGTCAATGAACTTGAAACATGTCATAGAAGTGAGACCAGCATTTCCCAACAATGTGATTTATGTGACTTTATGTCTCAATAGCACAGTCTTCACTTTGTGTTTCATTCTTTCACCTCTTTCAGAGCATGCAAGATGCTAGTCTTTTGAGTAAAAAGTACGGAACAATGTCAGTTTTGAAATGATTCATAGATATAATCTAACCAGTCTGTGATCCTGTCCCTCTGCATGGTATCCACATAAGTGACATGGTACATCTCCGGTGTCCATGAGCCTGATAATGCTGAATTGGTGATGGGTAATTCAGCTATGCATTGTCATAATTTATTAACACATTCATAACTGGAGTGCACACTAGCTTTTTAAGTTCTCTGCCTCGTACTTAAGCAAAATTCTGAATTTTGTCATCTTTGACCATTGGGTTCTTTACTGAATAAGTAGTTACCAGCCTCATGTCACTCCTAAGTTTTTGGAAATATCACTGGGTTAGGTTGGAAAGTGATGATTCCAGGTTAGGAGACATTTTTACACACTGATTTATGATTGAATTTGTATTGCCCATAGAAATCAGTTGCAGGATGTGGCATTCCCACATGTCTGATTTTTTGCATCATCTGATGGGGATCCTAAGGAAGTAGTGCTCTTTCTGTTTCACACTACCTAGAGGGTACAAAATTCAATCTGAAAGCAGTGTAGGAAGTTTCTGATTCCAGTTAAGAATTGGTTAACATTCATGAGATGATGCTCAAGAAAAGTGAGACCCTAGGCCTAGGTTTACAATGAATTTGGATTGACTTGCATTTTAGGTTTATCATATTGCAAAAATTTTTTTCAGGCAGTTTCACTTCATTCAGATGATAAGGCATGGATATCAAGTCCATCATGATAGTGAAAGTGATCAAAGCCTTGACCATCCATCATTTACACCATCCCTGCCCAGAAGGAATAGGTTGCCTAGCAGAATGGTCCTTATTGCTGTCACTGTGGAGCAACTGTCATTCCTGTCTCTTGTTGCGAATCTATACCTCTTCCTCACAAGAGGAGTGGACACATCTGCAGAGGGAAATTCATCTTGGGGCTCAACAGAAGCCCTAAATGCTGTCCTCTTCCTACTCACCTTCTCACATTTTTCAGGATTGATAGGAGGTTGTATTGCAGATTCTTGCCTTGGGAACTACTGGACTGTAGGTAAGGACAGTCAGGGCTGCAAAAACTATCCATCAAATGATAAATTAGGCTTGATAAACTAGACATGATTCATTGAGTCCAATCATTTTCAATCTTCTTGGCTGGGTCTCTATCTCATGTTTGCCCTGCCTGCTTATCACCCTTGTGGTGGATCTCCTTGGTAAAGTGTCCTTATGCTATTCTGTAAATAATTTTGGTAGGTCTCCAGGCCAGGATCTCAAGCACTGTTCAAAAAACAATAACAAAAAAGCATAATGAGGATCCAACATATTTCTGGTTTCATTGATCACCTCATAAAATAGGACAATAGTCTTGGCATAAAATAGGATGTGTCAAGATAATCATCTTGTTCATATCATAGTCTTTTATTTTCCTACCTCTTGATCATCAAAAATTTGCAAGTGGCTTTAGACCTGTGCCTGACACTAAATTGAGTGGCACATCAGACACATGAGATTTCATGCATAATACCACAACCTTAATTTTTGTTATGGCCAAAATGGTCATGGATGGTTCATTGCAGACAAAATGTTGCAAGTGCACTTGGCCATTGCATGATCTTATAGCCAACACAGGTTTTTGCACTTGCATGACAAGGCTTGCAGCTAAGAAGATAGCATTAGAAGGAATGGGGTATTGGAATCCCTGATGGCCATCAGCTGGTAAAGGGAAGAGAGGAAATGGGTTGTTGTCATTTTTCAAATGTATTTGAGCCATGCTGTTCATTTGAAAATTTGAGTTTTTTTGTGCATGGTGCTGGAATATGGCAAAATATTAACAGGTCAAGGTATCTGCACAAAGAAAGGTATCTCTTCCTTGTAGAGAGATTAATAACTAATGATCAATTCTACTTTTCCAGGTGAAATCTCAGTATTATATGTACCCAGCACCAACCTTGATGATGGCCAGGTCAGGTTGGTAGAACTGCAGCATATTCAGGTAGAAGTAGATGTCAAACCTGAAAGTTTTTACAACTCTTGCAACATGTTCCAAAAGTGACCATGGAAAGCTGCTGTTCAAGAGCTTCATGTAGCAACAGATCTTCTACCTTGTCTTTCATCCTTGAACCTATGAACCCCTGTTTTCATTGACACTGAGTTCAGGGGAATACCTTGGGCATTCTACATTGCTGGAGAAGTTACTGTAGATGTATTCAGAAGCTGCTGATTGGCAAAGGTTTTGAAAGAAGGATCTTGATCATGAAGGATTGCTTGGTCAATTATCCAAGACATTCTCTGAATCTGTTGGGGAGGGGAAACCATATTGACAAAAAATATCCATGAGGTATTCACTATGGGAGACTTTTTGGTGATAAGGCCCTACTCATCTTCAAGCAGCCATCAAGTCCAGTGGCCTTTCTATATAGATTCCTCATCTGTTATGGCTAATTTAAAGATGATTTGGTGATTCTATGCCCAGCCATGCAAAATAAGTTTCATTTCTATGTTTGGTTCTTTTTTTTTTATAGTGATTGGCTTTCTCCTCTGTGCTGGAGGATTTGGGCTCCTGACTGAAGCAGCTCTTGGTGTCCTGCCTGATTGTCATCACTCCTCATCCTCTGTCATCCATGAAAATGTTGATCTTGTCTCACCAACCTGCAAAGTTGAAGTCTACTGCATCCTGCTCATCATTGCCATGGGGATTGGAATGGTTCTGCCAACCTTGGCACCACTTGGAGCTGAGCAGGTAATTTCTCTTAACCATTTATATCCTTTCTTGTATTCCTGGGCAGAAGACTGACTATGAATATTCCCAGGATGGAGTTGATGGACCTCAGCAAAGCTTCTTCAATCTCTTCTACTGGTTCAAGAACATAGGAACTTTCCTTGGAATTGGAGTTTTTTGCTGGGTGGAACAGAATTCCCAGCATGGCTTTCCCATTGCATATGGGTCTTCATCTGCTGTGCTCTTTGTGTCTCTGATTTTATTGCTGTTAAGTCAGAGCATTTTTTCTAGGGTTAGACCTCCAGGAAGCCCTCTTGGTCACATCTTATGGGTCATACGAGAGGCTATACGAAACCGCCGCTCTTTCATTGAGGCGTAAGATCTTGTTTTATATTTGTATCATATCATTCTGACATTTTAATATCAATATTTGAAATGGGAAAATGAAACATGGAGACCATATTGTTTTCATTATCTTTTTTAATACATCCTTCCCTGCCATGGTACATATTCAGTGTTTATGGCATATTTTTATGTAGGTCACCGGTGGTGAGTCGTCGTTCAGAAGAGTTCCTCACCTCTATTCCAGCAGGGCTGGATTATGCTAAGGTGCGATATGGGGGACGGTATCAAGAGTCAGATGTGGATGACATTAAAGCCCTTCCTCACATCCTTGCAATGTTTCTTGCTCTCTTTCCATTTTTTCTTGTTCGTTATCAGGTAAGCCTAACCTGGTAAGGCTTGGCACATCTCATATACTTATTTATTGGGAGTTGATGACTATGTTAAATCCACTTCTCAGATGGACACCACTTTCCAAGCACAAGGTCTCCACCTGAGGCTGGACCTCGGTGACCACAAGTTTTTGGTAGGTTCTCTTCATCCAGACCAACAAGGTTAGCTTGTTCTCAGAAATTTTATGCATTTCCAATGGTTTTATGCAGGTCCCTACAGCTTGGTTGACCCTATTTGATGAGGTGTTTGTTATTGCTTTCCTCCCCCTGCTGGACTCTTGCATTTACCCAAGTTTGGAACGTTTGGGGCTGCATTGTGGCATAACATCTCGTATGGTCCTAGGCATGGGCTTTTCTTCCCTTGCTGCCACCACTGCTGGTCTTTTGGAGTTTTATCGCAGGGACTTGTGGAATCGAGAGTGAGTGTGAATTAAATTGGTATAGAGTCAAGGTGGTGAGAAAACCAGATCCTGAGCCTTGTTTGATGTTTATCATGTTTCTGTAGCCCTTCTTCACACTTGGAGCAAGTGATAGGCAACACTACTTATGATGCTGTGAATCTCTCTGTTTTCTGGCAAGTACCCCAGTATTGTTTCGTCGGGTTGGCTGAAGCCTTTGCTTCAGTTGCAGGTGAGCCCAATAGTTCCAAAGGTTTTCAATAAGTTTTTTCATTCATTATAGAACATGTGGTAAATGTAGAGCAGAGCATACTTGAAGGCCAAGATTAATCTATTAAATTAAGAGATAGATCTTTTAATCATGGATATAAAATAGCTCTAAAAATACCAATTGTAAGGTAGCTCTACAAATGAACACAAAGTATAATGCTCAAACTTATTTATTGCCAGAAACATCATCAAATAAAATTGGGTACCTTTATAAGGAAGGTCATGTATACATCAAGTGGTGCAAAAAAGCATCCTGTTTGATATCTTATGAAACCGACTATGGAGTTGATAATTTTCTTGCATCACATTGGAAACACTACAATATTTGTTTCCTGAAAGTTTCAAATGTTGAGGTTATCAAGATAAAAAGTGGTAATCATTCAAAGTGCAATCATGAAATGTAACTTTTTTTCGCAGATGATATGGATGCAGTCGCAGCACTGCTCAAAAGACTTCTCTCCTTTGACGCCATAAAGGCTGTATTTTTATGTTGTGTCATCATAGTATTCTTGATTGTGTAATGTTGCTAGGCCTCAGGTGAGAAGGTAAGATCTGAATTTAATGGTGTGTTTAGGGCAAAGGCACTGGAGAGGGAAGAGAATAATGAGAGTTTTCTATCAAATCATGGACTCTGTTCTGTGGAGGCTCTTCTTTCTCTCCCATCTTTTAAAAACACCCCTTTAATGCTGTCAATTTTCATTTATAAGAAATGATATGATTACTCTGCACAGTCAGAACCATTGCAATTGGGATACAGCCATAAGAGACAGGCTTTTAGGTGTTAAATGGAACACATCTGTAGACCACTGCTGAAATCACTGCCTCCTGATATAAGGAAAAGTGGAATTTTTCTTTTTGATGTTTCAACGACTTTTGCTCTTTACCAAAACAACCTAGAGGCGTCAAAACTTTTGTGAAACAAATTTTTGAGTGTATTCTGTATGATACAAAAAAATAGACAAACCTAGCATTCATAAAGTCTCTGTCAGGATGCATTTTTATGTGCAACCCAGTATATATGATTCATTCACCCTCCTGAAACACAGTAGAGAAGTGGACAACTGAATTCTAACAAGGAAAAGATTCAATCAAAGGTGACAGGTGAGGGGAATTATAGTGTCATAAAAAATATGGTGGTGCAGAATGTGGAAATCAGAACAGGGGAAATAGTACAGACCTTGGGCATATCAAAAGACAGTGCTCTAACCATTTGCACAAAAAGCCAGGTAAAACATTTGGATTTCCCAAATGTTGTCATTCAATGTGGTGACAGAATCATGATGCGTCTGCCGAATTTAGACAGGTTCCAAGTTGATCCAGTTGCTTTTTGTTCATGACAGTTACTGGGAATGAAACCTAGCTCAACAGCAACCCAGAATCCAAGCAGCTATTCATACCTTGGAGGCACAAGAACTCTCCACTACCCTGGAAGTTTTGGACTCAGGCATTACCTTGAAAGTTATTACAGTTTTCTGGGGCACAATGGCAGTCATTCAAATTGGCTATGTGCCTCCCAGCAATATGGTTGCATGCCAATATTATGCTACATTGCTGGAAAGATTGTAAAAATCTATTAGAACAGCCAATGGGGGAGTTAATTAAAGCAGTCCTCATTTTGCAAGACAATGCACCAGCTTACACCGACAATTTTTCATAGGTAATCCTCCATGACTGACTTGTAACTGTTGCTGCACCTGCCTCATTCATCTGACCTGGCACCCAGTGACCATTTCTGTTTTGGCATCTGATAGAACATCTGCATGGAAATATATTTCCAGGCATCAATGCAGTGATGTGTGAAACTGAATGGTCATTTGTGGGCTGTTGAAAGAGTGGTTTAAGACTGACATATATTTGCTAAAGGGACTTTGTGAGAATTACAGTGTCACTAATATGATATGTTGAAAAATCTTGGTACCGACTAGTTGCATTATGTTCAGATTGAGAACTTACTGAGCATCCTCACACATGTTAAGGCTGTGCTCCTCAAAGGTGACTCACTAAGGTTATGGAATGAGCTTGGCTCAGAAGTTTTCTTCTGTACCCCACCTTTCCATTTCTATTTATTTTTCATTTCTCACTGTACTTAATATTCCTGAATTATCTTTCAGGAAAATTAGTTTCACTCTGAAAGATGTTAGAAGGTTTTGGTTTTTTCCATTTCTTTTTAATGCATCTTTGCTTCAATTGTATTTTCTGTCCCCACAGGTCTGGAATATGCATATTCAGCAGCACCAAGAAGGATGCAAGGATTCCTGATGGGTGTATTTTATGCAAGCCAGGGTGTGGGGAGTCTCCTTGGCTTGGCTTTGCTCAACCTCCTCCAATTCCTCGGGTGGACCTCTCCCTCAGAAGACATCAACATGGAGCGCTTAGATTTTTACTTGTTTCTCCTTGGTGGTATCCAAGCCTTCTCTGTCCTTGTGTTCATCATGGTTCGTTGGTTGAGGTCCAGACAGGTTCTTGTGCCTGTCAGGCCTCCTCTGTTTAGCCCCATGCTGGATGAGTCCATTCACAGCTCTAATTCCTCCTGACAGATGGCAGCAGAGGAGTTGAGCTTGAAGTGATCCTCTTTGCCATTTTTCATTGTTTTCTTAACTATCCTATTGTGATATGATTTTGAGTGAGGACTTGATGCAAATGCTACATGTCCATGACTCACAGAATAAGGAAATTTTGTTGCAAAGCCCATGCCCCCCTACCCACCTTGATAGATCCATTCTCATGAAAAACTCTCTTCTATATGCTTGTTTTATTATTCCTGCTCTTTCTTCATGCCTCACACATCCCTGAGTTACCCATAAGTATTGTCCTCCTCTATTTTGTTGCAACCTAGCAAGAACCATTTGCCAAGATTTTGCTTTTCGTAACACTTTTGCTGCTGAGGGCATAGACTTTTGCATGCATGCTGGAATGGGTATCCTTTTTCAAGATTAATGCATGATAGCATGATGCACCCTAAAGCATAGACATGAATGAGATTCTAAGCAAATCAGTGAGAGGTACAGGGATGATGAGTTTGTGTTATCAGTTTTGGCAGGTAGACATGAATCCATTGAGACAGGCTTTCAGGTTACCATGAAGTGTAATGTCTTCCTTGAGTAAAACTGCAAACTATTTATAAATGAACTGTAAGAGAGGAAGAAGAAAATCAAATGCTGTGGTTAAGTGAAGTGTATCCATCATGGATGGTCATTTGCTGTATTTTCCTTGACAGATGTTCTCTCTGCTCCTATGAAGGCTGAGAGTTGAGAAAAAAATTTCAGTCTCTATTGAAGACATGACAAGTATTTATTTATTTCTAAGATGTAGGGAATGCAGTTTTCAATGCAATGCATAGAAGCAATTGTTTCTTCTTTTCTTTTCAATCTATTCTTTCCCCAGTCAAACCTTGTAGCCTATTGTCTACCAGCTTTTAATGTGATTTTTCAAACTATGAGATCAGTGTCTGTGATCCTCTGAATTAAGTTTCTGGACATTGCTGGTGAGACTTTCACAGATGTTGCAGTTCAAAAGGTTTTCAGAACCCTCACATTTAGGATTTGCTTGGAAATATATAACCCTAATGCATTTCATATTCCTTCTTCTCTCTCTCTCTATGCCCTGTATCCACTGGTGCTGTGATAATGGTAGTTAAGGACTAGTCTTGATATTTTCCCATTCAGAATTTGTCATATTTTTTGCAAGCTTGCAATGAGATAGTCTCCATGGAAACATTTGTCTGTTTCTGGCTTTACTTCACTGATACTGATCTACTTAGTGGTATTATCTGTGCAAGATGTTCATGTCATGAGTCACTAGGCAATTTGGAATGAATGCCTGCAGATGCTTTACTGTCAATTACTTCCATGTTTTGAGGATTCATGTCATTAGAGACTGTGATAGTGGATGAAGTCCCATTCCCCCCAGATAGTAAACATTCTTTCAGCACTCAACTAAAGATTTATTCTTCCTGTCAGTAAATGTAAAAATGCTGACTCATCTTTGTTAATTTGTTTTGTTGTAAAATGCAATCCAGACCTTTTCCCCTTGAATCTTGTTCTTTCTCCTGCTTTGATGGTATTGAAATTTCAACTATGGAAATCAAATGCAATGAATTTACTACTCCAGTCGTCTACCAGAATTAATCTTGATCCATAGCACGAATTTCTTGATGCCTGAAGAGGATGAGTTTGAGACTGGGCATCTCAATTGCACCTTGCCACAAAACCCATCCTAGGGATCCTCATATGCTCCCTGGCAGAAAGTGAAAATACATATGAACCAAGTCTACCTGGCTGAAGACTGGTTTAAAAGTTTCTGTAGGTGTTGTTAGTCTTAACTTTGGGAGTGTGACATGCATTATTTAGATAGTAGGATAGTGAACTTAAAGTTAGTGTCTCTTGTACAGGTACTATTAAATGATTTTCATTCACATGTGATAAATTTCCTCATCCATCAGCATCTTCAAAATGCTCAGTGTTGCATAGTTGTCACTGTACTCAAGACTTTGACTGTAATGGTGAGTTAGTGTTTCCTTTTCATGAATTTTCTATTATTATATTTTGAAATTCATATTCATAGTAGAAGTATCAATTAATATCTCTATTTCTTATTTATTCATTTATTAACACAATATGGGAGTTTTACTTCTTTCTAATATAGGCAGTTCATTTCATCATAGCTTGATATTTGACTGGTTATTCATCACCTGCACCACTAAGATGTCTTTGACTCTCTCCATCCTCTGAACTAGCCCAGCCCTCTTTTGCATTGTAGTTCTTCCAGATTCATTCCTAGGGAGTCAGAAAAATAATTTAAAGCATATTGCAGGCACATCCCACTAAAGAAGAATATAAGGTCCCTCCATGTGAACCTTTTTTCAGATGTCCAATCCCTACTTTTGGGCAGGGGTGTCACTAATCAGGGACCAGGTGGGAATAAAAACTTCCTGTTAATCCTCCAAATTCTCTTGAAAGTCTTTTTTTTTTGGAAAGATTCCAGTCACTCAGAAAATGAAATCAGAAGCAGGTGTTGGTATGGTCCATGAAGTTTTCCTCCTTGCATTGTACCCCATCTCTTCAAAAAAACTCATCTGCTCTGGCTCTTTTCTTCCCGTTTCCCCTCATGAGGTCTCCAAGAACATCCAGAAATGGGTTAGTCATCTCTTGTTTTTCATGCAGGCAAAGAGGGACATGCAAGCAAAATGGTCCAACTACAGCTTGTTCCTCTGCACCCTGGGCTTTGTGATATCCGCATATTCGTACTATGTGGAGGTGCGCATGGAACAGGACTATGAATTCAAGCCTTTCTGTGACATTGCTGAGTCTGTCTCCTGCAGCAAGGCCCTCCTCTCTGAGTCTGTCTTTCTTATCATCTCCAGATTCATGGGATTGCATGGCCACCTTGTTATATGGAACATAAAACTCTTATCTTTCCTCTTGTTTGCATTGGCAAGTGATTTTTGGGGATTGCCTTGACAATTTTATGGGCTAAAATTCTGCACTTTATCTGCTTTATTTATAATATTATGAATTAACTTAAAGGAAGGGTCAATTTGTGCAATTTTTCTTGGAATGGGAAAGTCTATTTTGTCTTCATGCTATCATGGTGATTTTGAGAAAAAAGTAAAAGAAAAGGAATTAGAAACATGATAGCAGTTTTCCTCTTCTTGCATCTTGAATGTTCCTGAATTCCCTAATTGCCTTCTGTAGGTATGGGAAAGGTTTTGGGATCATGGGGAAGTACTTCGGAGAGGAAAGCATCTGGAATCAGTATAATAGCGTCTATGGCATGATATGTTATGCCATCCTCTTCCTCCTCTGTCAGTCCCTCTCCTTTCTTTTAATATTTTGAAGTGCTTGGAGCAAGATGGTAGAAAACTGCAATTTTATTGAAACTGAGTTTTTGCTGCAGGGGAATACTTATACCTGTTGTCATTCTTGTGAATTTGGAAATGGTCTCATGAGAGAAAGTCGGTTGCTTCAGAAAGCCTCAAGCATTCTAAGTACTAAAAATGAGTCTTGCCTCTGCATGATATGTCCTTCCAACTCAATGCTGTCAGCTGAATAAGAGGTAACTTGTTCTAATTGTGTTAGGCATGAGTGAAACTCAAGATCCAGAATGTCAGTTTCACTTAACAAGTAACAAATGTATAGATTGCATTATGTGAAGATGGAATTAAGATGCTTTCATGGATGAATTAAAAAGAAAAAGGAAGAAAAAAATGTTGCAAATAATAAGGCAAGTGAAGGTTCCTCTGGAAGACATGCAGATGATCTATAAAGATGGATACCCCATCTGCAGTCCAAACTATTACTTTGTAGTAGTAGTATTACTCTACTTTACAATTGGACAAGCAATATGAATTGTGGAGGGGGGGTCCATCATAATGGGTCACCCTGTATATTGTAGAGGGTTAGTTCTATCCAGATTGGACAAAAGTTTCAGGACAAGCCCTCAACTTGGGATATTGACTCAGGTTTTTGGCACCCTGACCCAAACCTTGAAACAAGTTTAGGTCTGTGGCCTCTGATTACAAGCACCAATTTGCCAAAAAACAGAAATTTACTGCAATCTTGCCCCAAGAACTTTTGTTGTGTCTCTTTCCCCTTAAAATAAGTGAAATAATTTATTATTTCTGTTTCCAGCATATGGATCAGAGGAACTGTTGCACCTCCAACTGTATGTGATAGCCCTGTGCAACCTCTTCACCCCATACCTGGCTTATGTCTTGTTTGTGTTGATGAGAAACATCTGCATCATCTGCATCTCCATCTATGCCCTCAACTTCCTCCTCCTTGTTGTCATCTTCAGGCGGGTGAAGGCACTGAGCAACGGGGACGAGGCTCATCTTGTCCGCTTGAAACGTACTTCTTGATTTGTGCACTCGATTGGGGAACAAAGTCATTCTGTTTCAATTGGTTTTTCCTCCATCAGGGATCATTCCTCTGAAACTGGTTCTTGTTGAAACCGAGTCTCTTGAGATTGTATGGTGTTGGTGGGCGTCCTGTGTTCATTATTACGCACCCAGATCTCTTTGAAGAAATTTCACAAATTTCATTCTTATTGCAGGCCCCTCTGTTTATATGTGATCAACTTCTGTCGGTGCATATATCTTCAATTGAGGAGTTCTCTGGAAAAAGGACGTAAGTGCCCATAAGCCCTTTTATCATATCTGTGTTCATGCACTGCTTTAGGTGATTTGTCATAGGATAGGGTGATCAGCACGTAGTTAAGATGTGTATTCAGCAAAGGAGAAGCAGATTTTCCTATGCTTTCACTATATAGCAGGCAAACTGCCAAAAAAATTTCAATAACGCTGCCTCCATGAATATTTCATTAGCACCTGCATTGCTGAAAAATTTTGGCTGAATAATTACATCTTTTTGAACCAAATGCGAGAATGAGGAAGAAGTCAGACATAAGAAAAGGAGAAGTAAGTGATGGAGTCATCCAAGCCTCTGAAAGGATGCGAGAAGTTGGCAAAATTAATGAAACAGTTGGAGATTCAGATAATGAATAAATTGATCATGGATTACTGATGGGTAGTTGGTGAATGAAACTTGTCTTGAATAATCACCCTTTTATTGCCATTCTTTGAGGAAGAGTTGATTTGAAATCTAGAAGTATTTCTTGGTAAATTATTATATTTAACTGGAAATAAGTGGTGAAAGACTGATTGAAAAATGTTCTCCTGCAACCCAGCAATGTGAGATAAAGAAATTCGTCAAATCCCAAGTTCAATTAGAAAATGGTCTAAGATTCCATTTGACTGAAAACCGAGTTTTGACCAGCTGCAGATTAGCCGTGGGAAGTTTTTGCCCTTTATCTTGAATTGCATCTTTTGCACATGCGCCCTTTTTCCAGAGAACTCATTTGTTTCATCATGTCCGGCTTCAAACCATCCAGTCTGCAATCTTTCATGGAGTTGCTGGCTGTGAGTAATGATTACTTTTGGAATCAAGTAATTAAAATTAGTTTCAATCTAATTATTCCATTGTATTTCAAATATTTCATTTACAAAATCCCGATGCCTAATCCTAGCATGCATCAGTTATAAATAAAATTCAATTTTTAGCGTACTAATTCGAAATGTTTCAAGGCAGATTAATATCTGAATATTGTGATAGAAAGTTATGAAGTTTCAAGACCTACATGAAATATTTATTTTCTCAATCCATCACCATAACTACTGCGGTTATGGTTGAAAAATGCTTATATCCCCTTTATCGTACCGTATATCTCAGAACGTTTTCCGCACTCAATTACGTAGACTTATCGCAAAAAGTTTCACGAATAGGAATCTTATGTAAGCCTAAAATTCGCGACTACATAATGTCACGGGTCTGACATGAGGGCGGTTGTGCATTCTTAATTTTAGGGAGGGCAATAATTTGCCTTAATTGGCAGAGTGACCATCAAGGAATATTTATTGTTCCTACTCGGCTCTACGGGACAAAGGATATTTTTCCATTTTAATTTTTTTTTTCGAAAAGCCGCACATACATCATGCAAAGTATTGTTCGTGAAAGTTCAGCTTTCCCGTATGCAAGAATCATGCGGGCAAGAATCACGTTTGAAAGAAACGTGTGCCTATTTCCACGTTGCAAGGAAATCACGTATCCTAGAATATCTTAGGCAAGAAAACACGTAGCACGGAATCGTTTACGTCGGAAAACATGCGGCTCCGAAATGATGGGATCGCACGTAGGAAAGAAATCATGCTGGCAAGAACATGTTTAAGAAGAAAAATAGTGCATACAAGAATAAATGCGGGCAAGGTAATATGTAGGCGGGAATTCATGACACATGTGACATTACTCTTTATTCAAGTTTTAAAAATAATTTCTTTGGGTCACATGTCATAGGGACTACACTGATGCGGTTGTTATCGCCATCTTCATGATGAAGGTGGAGACTGTTAGACAGAGGACACGACAGGGGGAGGTTCTAGAGGCACAGGATCCGTGTCTGTCCGTTAAAATATAGGTTCAAAGTGAAAAAAAATAATGTTTTCTTGGGTTTATAACTCTTTCGCCGTAAGTTCTCTCTTTATTGCATTACGGAAATGGATCCCTTTCTTCTAAAGGTAGGACGCACGCTATCCCGAAGACGTTTATCCCGTGGGATGGCTGTCAGAGACGTTGACCGCCAGCGTATACCTCGTTCAATGATTCACGGCCGTCCCGTATATATGTTATGCTTGGACTCTGGACAAGCAAACTGCACAGCGAAGTTGAGGTAAAACATCTAATGGAGAAAAATGTAAATCCGTTAATTACTAAATCGGGACATGAAATAATCGAGTTATGATTGCACTCCACTCTAATATACAAGAAAGAGGAAATGAGCAGGCTGTAAACATTTTTTTTTGCAAAATAACGAAATTTAGCGAAATAGAGGGAAGTCGAATGAAGGAGTTCATATACTACCAGCAACCGAAAATGCAGCTGGAACTACATTGTGCAAAAATGGAAGTGGCACCACAATCATCATAGTCACCACATGTAACAGGGAAAACACGCACTGCGAAAATGATAAAAAGAAAAAAAAAAAAAACATTTTTTTATTCACCTCCCTTACCTGCAGGGCCAACTTGAACGGGTGCCGTATTGCCTGCTAGAACTGTGTTATTAGATAAAGTAATGAAATCGCGGTATCAGATTCCTTTCCAATAGTCACTTCCTCTTGTTCATTGAAAAATTAATATTCAAATATTCACCTTGTGCTTCAGGGCCGGGTTGAACGGGTGCGGCTTGGCCGGGTTGAACGGGTGCGGCTGGGCCGGGTTGAACGGGTGCGCCTGGGCCGGGTGGAACGGGTCCGGCTGGGCCGGGTTGAACTGGTGATGAAAGGAGAAAATTAAAATTCCCTTGCATTTTCCATGCGTTCCGCTTTAACGGGCATCGTCAATGCCGAGATTGAAGGAGTAACTAATCAATTTAGTCATTGAAGATTGCAATTTTTTGCCTGCAGAAACATGATTACCTGGCATAGTCGGTCTGGTCATTCTTGGTATTCCATCCAGGGTGTGTCGACATCTGCATAAGAACTCGAAAATGCTAAGTCTGCAAAATAAATCGGCAGGGGTGAGTACACCCAGGTCACTCTTCAGCCTGGCGGAATTTGCCCCTCTGTCTGTCATCCTATTTATGAGATGGGAAGGGGGGGCATGAACTGATCATAAAACACAACTCCCATTTTTCAAACATCAAGTGGGGTCAGGTAGCAACAAATTCGGTCTGACTCGCTTTCCTTGGAAATTTTCAACCAACTTTATTATAATGTCGCTTCAAAACGAGTAGTTAATGTTATTACGATCATGAGACCAATCTAGTCCATGGGTGTCATTCTACTCCTCCTTGATGTGAGAGGAGCCCTAATTTGGTCACTGACAACGTTCATTTGGTCAGTTCCAACGTTACAGATCTAACAGCAGTGAAAGTAAAAAGAAAAAAGAAAAACATGATAGTATACCTTGAATTTGATTAGGTTCAGAAGTTCTGCTTCATTAGTGCTTATGGAACAAAGATACCTGCACCTATTTCAACTAATGACTTCTCATTTCTTCCATGGATGAAAAAATGTAGACATTCATTTCCTGTAGCTGATGTAACACAGCGAGTATGACTTATAACTCCCTATTTTAAATTTTTCTATAACTTTAAAATTTATGATCAGAATTGCATGAAACATATCATACATTGCAGAGAAATGAATGAGTTTTTTGTAGGTTAATAGTACATTAATTACAGGTCGACCATGGTACATAGGCAGACCGATCACGAACGAGAACACTTTGTATCTATTGTATCTATATACCAGGTCCGCGGTTCGTGTTTTCAAACGGCAAAAATGATTTTGCGAGGACCACGAATCAATTGGAGATGAGCAGAGTGGCCGGTCATCCACATGCCGCGAAGAGGAACTCATGTCGTACAAAACAAGCAATGGGAGTGGGGGGGAGGAGGGAGGGGGGAGGGGAGGGGGAGACAGTGCTTCCGCCCATTCAAAACATACTCAGCCGGAGAATCTGTTGTTTGATGTCACCAATGTTTTGCAACCTGCATCCACATCTCATACTCCCTCCTCGCGGCAGATCAGCATCACAATCATTTATACGCATCGGCCCGCTATAGGATCGAGCCGTGTTAGGGAAGCCCTTTTAGGGAAGGAAAGCTGTCACTGAAATTAACAGAAGAAGCCTGTTTTTTTTTATCTCTAAAGGGGCATGAAAAAAGTAAAACAGATCGACTTGGGATCGTGAAAGTCACAGCATTCCCTCACATGATCTTGTGAGACACCTGGTGGTACACATATGGTGGTACACATTTGGTGGAACAGTCTGGGAACAGACTTGAAAGTCTCATCGGCGTGCAGTTCTGTGAAGACTCCACCATTTTGCGAAATGATTGGGTCGATAAAGATTATTGCGTCACTCCTAGGGTCGTTGGGGTCCTGGAAAATTTGAAGACAACAATCAGGGGTATTCTCTGTTGCCAAAAAAAGGAGGAAAATATGAATGTTTTTTTTTTTTTAAGTATTACTGGTTTTCGATGAAATTACGAAATAAAGAAAGGCTGTCATTCTTGAGTAGCTCACTCTTCAGCTAATAAATATGCGGTCTTTCTTTCAAAAAAGCTGGGTTCATTGCTTGCCAAGAGTTCGCCGATTGTATTGTTCAAACAGAGGAACTTCCTTCCTCTGTCCCCTTCGACTATGTACGAAACAGATGGCAGAGTCTCAATTTCCCCAGACTTTTCCCCTCCTACACTAGAGCGATTTCACGAACTGGAAGAATCTTCACATTCAACATTTCTTGTGGGTTCTACCTGGAGGTTTCTGACCACGAACTTTTCCATTACCCTATAGCAGCAACGGCATGACTCGTCACCGAAGAATGGTCCGAGAAATTGGAGATTCAACCTAGTCCATGTATCATGTTATGAGAAAAAGCCCACTTTCGGGGAGGCATTTGACAGCAAAGGGATGGCTAATCCTCTTAATAGCATCATTCATCAACTAGGTTAAGGGAAAGATCTGAGAAATCTGCCGCATGACATGTTTAGAAACGTGTCAAATTTTCAGGGTTGTTGCATTCCCCTTTCACCTCTCGCGTACCTCTAGCCAAAAGTTTTATTGAAGAGAAAGAAGTAATTCACTTTCAATGACGAAATTGTCAACATTCTCTGAGCAACTAGCACTGACGACGAAGAAAGGAAGAAACCAGCAACAGAGCAGAAATTTAATCCTCACATGATTGAAATCCCTTCTCTTCCCCGAGAGAGAATTCACAAATTGCCCTTTTATCCTCCCTGGGTCAAATAGCTTTCCCTTTCACCCCACTATCAGGAAGTCAAGCCGAAGGTCTATTGGCTTCATTAATCATCTAATTGTTTTGAGAAACTGTTGAGTCTAGATCCCATTGAGTCTAGGTCCTACTGTACCTCCCACTCCGACGTTACGAACTGTTAGATGGAAATGAAATAATTTCTTTGGACGTCTCGTCAGTTCTCCTCGTCAGTTCTAAAATACAATTCTGAATTGTTGAGGGGGTGAACCCCTTCAAATTTTTTTGGGGGCTGAGGCACTCCTGCCAAATTTATTTCATAATTATTATTATTTTTTTAAATATTATAATTCATTTAATTTTTTTTCGGGGGGGGGGGGGGACTCCATCATTAGAGGAATCCTAACCTGCTCATGGCCACAATGCAACAGCCTCATGATCCCTTCCTTCAATTCCTCCGAGCTTCTCTTGTTTTGTTTTGTGGGGGGGGGGGGGGGGGGGGGGGGGGGGAGAGAGCCCCCCGATCCTGCAATGATTAGCTGTGTATGACCTGCCATTATAGCCATTATAGCCAATATCATGCTGTCCACTGCAACGGACATCATAAAGGGCTTAAGGAAGAATTGCAGGGAAGATGGATGGGGACATCGAAGAGCCATTGGATGGCTTTCACAATCGCCTGATCTCACAGTGTGTGACTATTGGCTATGGGACAGTGCCGTATTTCACGGGGAGGCATGGGGGAGGGAGTGGCGGTCGCCTACCCCTCCCCCCTGCCTTTATGATAGAGACAATATATGATAGAGGACATGCTGACCGTGAAATGACAAACGGTAGGGAACTATCATGGAATCTAGAAGGATTTGACAAGAGTCGCGAATATTGAACGCAACCAAAAAGTGGAACACGGAAAGCGCCTGCGCGAATGTCCCCTGCGCCTGCGCTGTGGGCTTGCGCTTGCGCAATGGCGCACAATACAATGCTTTTGGGGCAATTGGAAGCCATCTTAGTTGGGTCTGTGGTGGCTCTTCTTCATTCACTACAATGGAATTTTCATAATATCCCATCCAAGTTTTCTTGCTGTCGTGATCATGATGGCAGGCAGTCATGGTACTGGAGGCCTAATAATTCAACCACTCTGACCCGGAAATCCTGGAAAGCCTCAAACTTCCGTACCCCAGCACCTCCTTATTCGGTTTTCAGCCACAGGATTCCACCATCTTATCCGCATAATGAAGGGTTTCCACCAACCAAATGATGCCTACATCTGTAGACTGTGGCAACTCATCAGCGAACATTTATCACCTCGTGTAGTGCACGGGCAACGCCCATCCGCTGACCTTTTGGGTTAAACAGTAACAGTTACATGTTTATTCTCATTATTATATGTATTTAAAATACATATCCTGCCGGCCTGCTTCCCAATCACAGCGATTGACCTTACCGTGAGGGCCTTCAGCACACCCCGTCATCATTGTCCTGCTGAAACACCACATCTCCCACTTCGAGGCGGTAATGCGCCAGTGTCTGGAGCAATTTTTCCTCGACCATGCTTGTGTTGAGCCTGGCATCCATTCTTCCTTGGATTTGACAGTCAAACCCGAGTCCTTTGGCCGTCATGCAGCCCCAAAACATCAGGCCACCTCCACCATACTTGCGGGTCTCCCTCACGTGCCGCTCTGCTAAGGATTCGCCGGGCTGCTTCCATGTCCAATCACGCCCATCCGACCTCATAAGGTTGAATTTTGTCTCGTCTGACCAAATTATGCGTTCCCAGTCCTCTACAGTCCAGTGTTGGTGGCGGCGGGCGAATTCTAGCCGCTGTTGGATATGCCGCGACTGGAGTTGCGGCTTCTTTCGCTTGGTTGTTGCCCTCAGACCAGCTTCTTTCAGAGCTCTGCGAACAGTTTTGGCACTGCATTCTACCGAGGTCCTGCTTTTGAGCTGCCTCGTCGCTTGCACTGCTGTGTCAACCTGACCCAATGTTACGTTGAAGAACTTGGTTTAAAAAAATTAGACCCCATATAGTATAATCTGTTTACCTATTTCCATGGCTCGTGCCAAGCCAACTTTGTCGGACCTCTCTCTCAGAGCTGAATTGGGAATAGGTTCAATGACAGCATGTGCACCATTCTTGAACCCAATGAGGTCTTTGAACCATCGATAGAGATCAGGGAACCGAGCCAAGAAGGGTTGACCAATTTGTAGCAGTTCTCCTCTTGAGATCACTTCTTGGTTAAATAGCAGGAGGCAACGAAGAAAATTCTCATAACATTGGTGTTGTTGTTACAAACCAGCAACATTAATTGTGTTTCTCATCTTTTTCCTAAACTGTCTATAAGGCTTCTTTAGATATTCCATGAAATATCAACTCCCTCCCTTCTGACCTTCCTTAGAATGAAGGAAATTGTCAAAATGTTACTTTCATTCCCAGCCATAATCACAAATATAAATGGGTTAAGGGGTTATTCTGTAAAACTTAGGGCTTGAAGACTTAACGTGAGACCGGAAACTTTAAGTTTGTTGGTATCTGTATAGTTTTGTATTGCTACGAGACGTCCACCATCCTTTGAGAA